TATATCTAAAACATTTTGTGCCACTTTAACAAAATACCATAAACTGGGTATTTTATGAACAACAGAGATTTCTTACTCCTGGAGAAGCCAGGATGCCCAGGATTGAGGTAGCAGTAGTAGATTCAGTGCCTGATGAGGACCTGCTTCCTGGACTGCAGATGGCCATCTTTGTATTGTATTCTCACATAGTGGAAGGGGAGAGGAGCTTTGATGAAGGCAATAATGCCATTCGTGAGGACTCTGTTTTCATAACTAATCATCTCCAAATACCATCACATTGAAATTAGGCTTCAACATATGAAGTTGGGGTGAGTACAAATATTCAGTCTATGTAGGTGAGAAAATGATATTAGGATTAAACTGAAGTAAAGTTGGTTGTCTCTCAAAGCAGAATGATCAGATTTTTTTTTTCATTACTCACCCTGGAGCCTTATTGGAAAGTATCTCTTAAATTCAGTAACTTAGACTCGAATGGCCACTCCAGGTAAAGCTTATTCCTGTCAATAGGCTGTGGTGATGTTAATATTTCCTCTGTCAAAATTAAGTACTTTTTCATTGGTTCATTAAAAAATAGGACCAAAGTTTATATGTAGTTTCATTGCTTGACAATTGCTGCAGCAGAGTTCTGTATGTTATTGGTGACATCTTCATTTGAAGGACTAGTAGATTGAATCCACACCAAACTAACTGCAGGAAAATAAAAAGAAACCAAAAGGAAATTCCTATCCTATTTTAAACAAGGGAAATGAAGCATAAGAAAACATTATTTTTAACTACTGAGTGATAACCTCTGTTTTCACACATCTAGTCTATGTGCTTAACTCATTGCCACAGTTGAGCTTTATAATTTAAAATAAGTCAATTTTCTTGGACATTTTAAATAATCCAACCTGAATAGGTGATTTAGAAATGGATTGTTATTGCTTTACATTTTGCTCTAATTTGAATACTTGAAGATGAAAAGCTTTTTCTCCTAAAGATTCGCCTTTGGTTTCATTTGTATTTTCAGGTACATTTTATTCGTTCATAGTCTCACCTATCACTGTAAGCCTGCTTCCTTTGACTGTTCACAGAAGTAATTTTCCTATATTCTACTGTGCTTACTTTTAGATCCTAAGCCTTTCCAAAGAAAAATAATTGAATGAAATGTCATTTGAACCTATATTTGTCTTTGACCTTTCTGAATCAAATCGGTTGTTTTATTTTCTTTATATCGCTTGGAAGGTGTAGATGTTTATTGAGCTATGTAGACAAGATTAAATATAATTACAAAACTTATAATACAGAATTCTGGATACTTTACAAGCAAATATTTCCATTAATTATAAATCAATGAAATGTATTTTGAGAAAGCCCATAAAATATATTTCATGTGGCGCTTGCTAATGAAAATTATGAGGTTGAAGGCAAACATAGACCTATGCCTGTTTAACCTTAACAGCTTGAAGTATTTTATACTCAGTAGCAGGAAGGGCTTAGGAATTATCCATCAAAACAGCATTATCTGCCAGATGCAGTGTCACATGCCTGTGGGAGTCCCAGCCACTCCAGGAGGCTGAGGCAGGAGGTTCACTGGAGGCAAAGACTACATGCAAAACTCAGGCAACATAACAATAACCTGTCTCAGAAGCAAAATCAATGCAAGACAATTTACTTCATTCTCTTTATCTATGTCTTCATTTGGTTAGCAGTGTATTTTACATAATTTGAAGCACCACTAGGTTCTTATTTTCATAAAAGAACAAAAAGTTTAGAGAATGAAGTAGATGTATTAAACACTGATTTCCTTCCTGTTACTTCTAGAAAGAATAGTCTGTCTTTTGATTTCAAAAGCCAAATCTTTCTGTTAAAAAAAAATGCTTTCTGAACTATTGGACATTGGATATTTAGTGTATATGGTAGTGTATGACCTTTTTGTGTCACTCTGTTTCTTATAAGTTATCACACATTTTAACTCTTGTATCTGCTGCCCACTCCACTTTCTAGGTGACCTCTGTTATTTATTGGACGTGCAGTTTTGTGTTCTTGTTTTAGCTCAGTCTCATCAAGCTCTTCAAAAATTACTGGCGACGTAAATCATGCTATTTTAATCATATTTTTAGTTAAAGATAGTCAAAAGTAGGAGAACAAATTGTGTTCATGTACATATTCAGATATTTAGGGGTCTTTTTAAAAGTTATTCAAGAAGGATATCTAAAGCTTTCTTTTCTATACCTGTCTCACATAGGACTTTTCCTTCAACTTTCTCCCACTCTAACTATGACTACATATTTTGTGGAATGGGGAGTTATTAAACAGATAATTAACTCATTGTATGGATGTTTAAATCAATTGCAATCTAATAAAGAAACACACTTTTAGCTGAAATAGTTAATGTTTCCTTTGGAAAGAGGAGAGTGAGACTTAACTATGCGTGGTCTATTTTCTGTGGACACAAGCCTTTGTTTTCTTTTTCTTTTGAATCTTGTTGGGTTGTATGCATGCACTAAGGGTGACACAGAAGGTATCATAACTCAAAATCAGATGTCTTTCACTGCTTCGTTCTACAAATGTTTCACAGGAGTTGAAATGATAGTTATTTCTTGATACAAGAAACATTATACACCATTCTTGACCTTGCAGCCCTTCATCATTTCAAGGAAAACTGTTTATCAAATATGCAACTTTAAAATCAGTGCTTATTTCATAAGGGTATGCTTCAGGAACTATGAAAGTATATAGCCAGGTGTCCCAAACTAAGCTGGAGACATTGGGGAACATCTCCTGGTTTTGCCAAAATCACTGCAGTGATGATTGATGATTGGCTAAGGAAAGCTAGGGACGAGCTGGGAGTACAGGAGGTATCTCAAATAAACGAAAGCTGTTAGTGCAAAGGTCCAGAGAGGAGAAAAAAATAGCTGTAGATAAGTTGAAGGGAGCTCATGAAGCTAAAAAAAAAAAATGGGAGAGCAAATCAGTGGTAGTTATGGAATGGAGCCGTGGAGAGGGAAAGGAACCAGATCACGGATATCTTCAAACACTTCAAAGTTCTAAGATTTGTCCTAAAAGCAATGGAAAGTGTTATACTAGTAACATAATTAGATATTGGCTGATGTATGGAGAGTGAATGGGACTGATTAAAGAGAGATTACTATTAAAAATGCCAATAGAAATTGGGCAAGAGGGATTCATGAGCTGGATTTGGTGGGATCTAAGGCTATATACTTCATTCCTGATGACGGGAACACTCTGGTATGGAAATAGCAAAGGCAGCACCAGATCTCAAAGCCATAAGGAAATTACAGCAATAAAAAAAAAGTTCATCAGGCCAAGGTTATGTGTTTTTGAAAAATATTTCATGTTTGCTTTTCAAATTATGCATGTAGAACATATTTATTATATAAATCACGTGTATGACAAAAACTCAAATTCACTAATAATCATACTGCCCTAAAATAACCCAAATTAAACTTTGGTGTAGCTTTAAAATACACATACATGAAAATACACAAGTACACTTTGTGTAAATTGTGCTCATATTTTAAAACCAAAGATAGAGATGAAAGTGCAGTCTGGTTTGAGAGACTGCTTTACCAAAAATATATTTCAACACTAACATTTTAATGATTGATTGCATAAGTCAAAGAAACTTACGTCACTGTGTTCACTGAATTTATATATGGCTCAATTTTGATATTTACATTTTAAATTAAATCTTAATTTGTAAAATATTTTCAGTCATATAGACATTCAAATGACAAATTGACAAGATGTAAAAATAATAATAATTATTTATCTTTCTCCACAACTTTATAATCTATATTGCAATAGTTTACTGAGGTATGTGTAGTGTGTTATAAGGCAAGCACAAAAATGCTGAACCACCTATAAATTATTCCATGTTGGGAAAAATAGTATGCTGTTTTCTTCCCTAAGAAAGTGCTTCAGTTTGCATTATCTCTCAGCCCCCATTCGAGCTATTACCAAAGTCTTTCCACTCAGAATTCTGTTTCAGTTAATTTGTAAGAAAGAGAAAAACTCTTCTTACAACATTCAGAATTCAGCACTGAGGTGGCAGCCCAGATTCTGCTTAAGTGCTTTATAGATCAAGAAAACACTCCACTGTTTGCAAGGTCAATTTAAAGTGTTTGTAGTGACAATTTTGTTTTTTATTCAACGAAGCAAGTCTCTCAGTTTAGATCTATGAATAGAGGCCCTTGTTTATGGCTTGTATTTGTACTGCAAGCTACCATGCCTTTTTAGGAATAACAATACAAAGCAGATATCTGAATATATTAAAAAATAGAATTTTTTCAAAAGTTATATGCTTCAACATATTAAGCTGTAAATGAAACTGAAGAACACTCAAAGTCACTTTTGTCAAAGCCTTTTCCTGAAAGATATTTGGATGATGCAAGCTGTAATCTCAAGTGATTGATAAACCAATTGATGTGGAATACAAAAGAACTGTTTGGATTTGTGGTTTTCTCAAATGGGACAAATAAGAAATTTGATTTCTGAATAGGAAATAAAGTATCCTAGGCCTATTTTAGATGCTTCAGTGTGCCAAAGATGATATTAAGTTTGGTGTTCATAAATTACTAATCTGGAATAAGAGGTTGAATGTATTTTGAAAACTTAAACCTGTTTCAACTGAACATGTTTAACTAGTTAATAAGAAACATCAAAAAGACAAAACCCTGAGGTCAATGGTCATTTTTTGTAAAGCTATTATATGCTGTTTAAATTGGTTGTTCGGGTCTGTCTATAACATAAGTTTAATAACCTAGCTCAAATGCAGATTTCTAATTTTCAATTAACATAGGAATAATTTTGTTTGCTAAAATAAAATAAATGAATGAATGACAAGTCTGAAACATGAAATGTTCTAGGTAGAACTTTTTAAAATTCCAAATTTCAAAAAATCATGTGGCAACTGTATAGCTCAAGCTTTAAGTATTAACTTTTAACCTTTGACCTTACAGATTTTAACCAATGAAATGTCTCTTTAAACTTTAAAGGAAACAATGATAACGAGCGCCTGGCGATTGCTAGACAGCGAATTCCATATCGACTTGGTCGAGTAGTTGATGAATGGCTACTCGACAAAGGTAAAAAACATTGATTAAAACTTCAAATAAAAAAATAATTTGAACATAACCAAGTAGTACTTCATTGTAACACTAATAAACATAAAAAATAAATTTTCCGTAAAACTAAATTAAAAACAAATTTAAAACAGTAAAATGTAGATAGTAATATTTGCATACCTTGTATAATAATTTCTATACATTTATAGACGTACCAGCTGTTTAATAATCTTACCCAGTTAACTTAAGGTTAAAGGGACTGTTAAATATAATCCACTAACTCAATCTTTGAAGGTACTCACAGCAAGCATTAACCCAAAATGATAAATCATTCATAGATTATATTACATGTTCCAGCCTCTAAATTATTAACTAAAATATATGTAGTTGTGATATCTTTATTATGGTCCTGAAAAAAAAAAAACTCTTTGTTTAAACTTTAGGAATCTTAAATAGTGGGCAATATGGATTGCCAGTCAAAATGAAGTCCCTTTAACGTTTGCAAACTTCTAAGAACATTTGGGAACAAGCCCTAATTAAAACCGAATTTAAAGTTGTGTGCATGCTTTTTATGGGCAGAGAGCAATCTGCTAAAACTGGACACTCGATTTGATGATAATGGTACTGTTGCTAAGGATTGCTGTTTGAAAGAAATGTGCCATGATTTCTTCATTGGTTTGTGTATCATTCCTGAAGCCGCTTTTTTACATCTGAAGCTATTTTTTTTTCCATTTTCTTTTGTTTTGGTAGACTTGCTGAAAGCCAATCAGAAAAATAGTTTTGGAATTTTTTTGTCTCTGACATGCTTAGTGTAAACCATGCATTTCTTTTCAGTGTGATTGCCGGAAAAATAGAATAATTCAAATAACAATGGACTATTGCCTTCAAAACATAAAAATACATCTAAAGAATAGCATGTACATACATGTGGAAATTATGTAACTTATGAAATTTTTACCATAAAATTTAATGTTAGATTTCAGCTTCTGTAGTTTCTGTCAGAGGTAATTTTAGGATGACAAATACTTGAAATGTTAGCTATATCACACTTTTAAAATTTAATGATTTAGTCATGAGACCAGCAATATAAGATCTTGAGAGAAAAGCAAAGAAGGGATTCAGAAAAATTGAATTACAATACATATCTTTGATTGGTCTTTTAGCAAAAGAACTACATTTACAATAAGTTGAAAATTTACAAGTATTTGCCAATAATTATGCATTTCATGGACACCTCATTTATAAGCAATGAATTATGAGTCAAATGCCTCTCTTATAGTTTATTGCTCTCATATCCACCCCATGAAAGATCTGTTTTATCATACTTTGTAGAATGTAGAGTTCACAATCAACATTTTTGCATGTATGTAATATTATTTTTACAGGGCGTCAGCTCACAATCTTCAATAGCCAAGCAACCATAATAATTGGCGGGAAAGAGCAGGGCCAGCCCTTCCAGGGCCAGCTCTCTGGGCTTTACTACAATGGCTTGAAAGTTCTGAATATGGCAGCGGAAAACGATGCCAACATCGCCATAGTGGGAAATGTGAGACTAGTCGGTGAAGTGCCTTCCTCTATGACAACCGAGTCGACAGCCACGGCCATGCAGTCAGAGATGTCCACGTCAATCATGGAGACCACCACAACCCTGGCCACAAGCACCGCAAGAAGAGGAAGGCCCCCCACGAAAGAACCGGTCAGCCAGGTGAGCATGTGCATTTTATTCCTTCATTTTGGAGCTATGATTATAAAGTGCACTTTTCTGCATCTCTCTTACTAAAATGGGACGTTGTTTCTCTCATCTCAGGCACTGTGGTTCCTTTGAGACTTGGCTTAGCAGAGGTCACTTGGTTTGAATATGTCGTGGATTAAAGCTTTGTGGGCTTTTTCTCAAAGGTGTTGGTTGTGTCATTTTGTTAGCTGCTGGCTAATAGTCTTGATAGAATAACCTTGGTTTTGACCAGGCTGATAAGGATTGTCTGCTACTTAAAGTTTGCACGTTTTAAGTTTGTGAACAAATAAATGAATGATATACTTGGAAGTCCTTGTTTGTTTAAATTCAGCACTTCATCAAGATAAAATGAAAGCAAATTTGATATTAGAGATATTCCTGCAATACTGTTATGTCCTGAAGTCTGAAAATTTTGAATTGGTAAACAAGTGGCTATTGGGATGAATGATATTGGAAATCACAATTTTAAAATATGCTGTTTAAGATGTGTCTTGGTCAAAGATACTTTGATAGTTGATTGATTGCTCTCACATAGGATTTGTTTTAATAACTTTGATCTTGTCTCTAAAATTTTTGAAAAATATCATTATTAGGAGCACTTACCTAGCATTTATGAGGTCCTGGGTTCTATCCCCAGCTCTGTAAAAGGAAGAATTGAATTTTTAAATGTGGTATTGGCACACCTTGAAAGTATGTTAATTTAATCAAGATCCATATGTTGATTGCCTACTACATGTTAGGCACTGCTTTAGTCATTATTGTATTACTGAAGGACACAGGAGAATAAAAGGCTTTTATGAAATGTTTGATAAGTGCTGTCAGATCCCACTGGTATTTATAGCCATTGTATGTCCAGTTGTTCATTCTTTTGGAACTGTGAATTTTCCTTCGTCACAGATTTTTGCTTGATTGTTTGTTTGTTCGTACTGACTATGGAACTCAGGACCTTGTGCTTGCAAGATAGGCACTATGCCACTGAGCTAAATCCCTGGCTCTGTTTCTTTTGTTATTAATACGTGATGAATGTCTTCAGTAGGTGCTATAAAAGTCTTTTTCAAATACAAGATCCTTACTCTTCTAGAAAATTGCATCCTAAAGGAGCAAGAATAGAAAATGTTATTTTTCAATTGCTTTCTCTTAGTGTTTGATATATGTTGAATATCAGATTTGAAAAGAAAGCAATAGAAAGCAAAGTCTGTTTGTATCATTACTTACTGATTAATATGCTTCCCAGAATAACAATAATTATAAATTTTACTTTGAATAAGAAGTGATAAAAGCAGAACAAAGGAAGATAAAGTTTCCTAGGAGAAATGACAAGTGTACATTTTGTGTATTCATAAGTGTGGTACAGTGCTGTTTTGAATATACACCTATTTTCTTTCACCTTTATGTAATTTTTTTTTTTTTTGCATTGGACCACAAAGTGAAATGGGCTGTTTCATAGGACATCAGTATATATTTGTCAATCCCTATCTAAATGCACCAAACACTGGTTTAGCATGAAGACATACTGGTAACAATAAACAAAAATTCCTGCCTTCATGGAATGTTCATTTTATCACTAATGTTAGCTTAGAGTACAACTATCTTGTTGATTTTGTCTTGTTGAGATTTACAAGATTGTTGATAGTATTGTAATACTTAGCCCTTTTGATGAATACTTGTGATTTAAGTAAGAATACCATGAAAATATCCTGTATGAGATCCTTGTCCAATAGAACTATTTGAAACTCTTTCCTAGTAACTCCTTATAGTGCTGTTATTGTGGTTGATTTATGATCATTTTTATCATAAATCATTTATGATCATTTTACCATATTTATGATTCATTTTATACTAAGCAAGTTATTAAAATGAATCTGATATGAGAAAACAAAATACAAAATAATTCATAAACTATTTCCTTTATAAAAATAACTCATAAGAGAACATTTAAGTGCATTCAGAGTTGTAAATGTTTCTGTGAATATAATTTGAAATAGTTAGTTTTCATGGTAGTCTTGTTTCATTGGTAATGAAATTACAGTTGCCAAAACTCCTAGATAAAACAGATGTATCCCTGGCCAGGCTTGGTGATGCACACCTGTAATCCCAGCACTCGGGAAGAGGCAGGAGGATCGCTGTGAGTTGAAACATTCTGGCTACATAGTGAGTTCCGGTTTTAAAAAAAAAAAAAAAAAAAAAAAAAAAAAAGATGTATCCCCAAATAAGAATTGAAAAGATAAATATCTAAAAATGCCTAAATAAAAATGCACACATTTTGTAATATCAATTAATGCAAAAAGAAAATAGTTAACTGCTTTTTAATTGCCAATGCAAAAGAGTCTCTTATTATAAACTATGTATGTCATGTTTAAAGTCAGCATTACTTTATAGAAGTAGGCAATCAAATCAATTAGAGATAACTTGGTTCATTTAAGGAGACATTAACTTTAATAAAAATTACTAGGTTCATTTATAAATAAATATTCATGTAAATAGACCAATAACAGCAATTTAATAATTTGGATTATGTTAGAAATGTTCAGTTGTTGCAAATTTCACTCTAACAACATTTTTTAAAGTTGGACAGATACTTTTGAAATTCTTTTATGATGATAAGTATATAATTATTGGTAACAATATAAAGTACCTTTGTTAGAGAGGAAAAACCATTACGGAAGAGAGCACATTGTTTATTTCTGAGCAATAGAATAATTTGTTGCAAATTTTTCTTACATCACAATTGATTTTCAAATTACCCTGTATAAATATAGGAGATCATTTAGATATGTAAAGTGTTTATTTGTTAGAATTGTTCCACATATAAAAAGTTTAAATATGAGAGTGTTTTGTAATACTAATTCTGGGACTGTAGACCTCCTTTTTTTTTTTTTTTTTAAGATTAGATGCCATTGAAACATTGTCTATGGTAACCATATCTACCCGCTTTTATCAACTACCTTACTAAATTGTGTACTAGGAAGGGTCATTTCATTTTTCAGAAGCCATACTGGACTGTTTTTTCAATCAAAGTGTATTTTCCTCAGTGATGACACTGAGCCGCTTAAACTACAATGGTAGTGTACTTGGGGTGATTGCATGTTTTAGAACTACAGAAACAGATTCTTGGTCAAGCAGAATTAAATTGGATTCATTTCAAATAGATGAAATGAATTCTGTTCAGCCATCCTGCAGGGCAAGGAGTAGGTGAGAAATGTATTTCAGTTGTGGAGTATTCATCAAAATATCTTCCATAACATTATGTTTTGATTCCTACTTAAAAGTAAATATGCGTTAAAAAGAAAAAATGAAAAGAAATTTTTTCTTCCAAGTGATGATCAATGTTTATATTGATGTTTACTCTAGAAAGATAGACTTAATATCATGAAATAGCAGAGACATGAATCAGACCTTCTGATTAAGTAGGTTTTTTTTGTAATGTGAATGTGATGATATTGATGGTACTTTTATAGGGATTATATGAGGTTTATAATCTTGTTTTACTTACAATCTTTAATTGTTAAATCCTCCCGTAAGACCCATTCATCTTACGGGGAGTTTTCCATATGGCTACGCTCAACAAATATTGGCAAAATTAGGTGAAGCACAGTGCTCTTTGGAATCACTGAACACTTCTTAGGGCGAGGGAAGGGATGGCATGCGAGGTGTTAGCTGCCGAGTGTCCCCTCCTCCTCTGAAGGGTCAGGCATTGTCTCGCAGTGTCACGAATCTCTGTGTGAATGAAGAAAAAGGAGGACATTCTCTTTTCACTTGCCACTGTGTACAGGAAGACAAGTGCACCTGTGCAGTGACTTTTGTGATAAAAACTGTGATAATTCTTTTGGAATATTCTTTGTAGCCCATATTATGATCTTTTCTGTTTTCTCTGTCAATAATATTCTACATTCCACATACTTATCAAGATTTTCTCTTGGGGAGAATATAGTGTAATGCAAAGGGCACAGTAACCTGGTTTCCACTTCCAACACAAACAGCTGCCTCCTCCTCTGGCTCAGACGGGTTGTCTAACGTGGCTGCACTTAGGCCTTGTTGCCTCTCTACAAATGGATTACTAGGGCTCTGTCCAGTTGTGCATAGCTTTAAATGATTCAAGTGATGGGTACTCTTTACTTTATTTATTTGTTTGTTAGTTTGTTTGGTACCAGGGATGGATCTCGAAACCTTGTGCCTTCCAGGCAGGTGGCAGAACCACTGAGCTACATCCTCAGCCCGGGGAACTCTCAATTAGGTCTTTCCATCATTATTTTTAAAAGCCTAAATTTCAGTGCTGACATTTTTCTAGGGTGGCCGTGCATCCCAGTGGGCATGTACAGTCCTTCGGCACACTCGGTATTATGATGTCATTACTGACAGCACTGTTGAGTTTCAGACACATCTCATTTGGGTGTGTTAATTAAATTGCACTCCAAGTTTTTAATATATAGAAGACAACCTTTACAAGAAATTTATACTTCATAAGAATAATAAATATCAAACCCAGTCCTTTACATTCAGAGCAGATGCTGATTCTGGTATCTTTACCAGGTTTTTAGAATGCACAGTCTTTTCATGTCATTTCAAAAATCCCAAGCAAAGTAAGAGGATAAAATGTGGAGAGAGCCTGCTTTTGTCTGGAGCAAATGTAGTTTGCAATTCTTTGGAAGGAATGATACAGTGAGAAGATTTGTAAATAGGAGCTGAATGTATTGGAACAGTTCTTTGGTTCCAGGGTGGAGATAGCAAATTTACTCCAGGAGGGAGACCACTGAGAATTGAAAATCACTTGTGGTAGATCATTGGAGATGTGTGCATATTTCATGCAAGAGCTCGTATTACCATCAAGGACATTTGATTCCCAGTGGAGTTTTCTGAAAACAAACCCAATTAGTGTTCAAGCAAGAAGCATCTTTAATACATTGGGCCTAACTGTTGCTTCCTGGAGACTTCAGTGCTATTAATGAAGAATTAATACTATTTGTTTGAAAAGT